GTAATTACAATTACCCAACACGATTCTCAACTCTCAATTTGCGATTCAAAATAACACACACACATAACGCGTTCAACACGACAATAACCAATACCAATCACCAAACCCAATAATCAATAATACACTTTTTAGCCTATATTTATATTAACAGAACAGGAATACATATTTTCTCTACCACAACTTCCCTTACGTAAATGGAACACGTTTATTGCTATTTTGTTCCCTTTTTGTGGTTCTTAATCCGATTTTGATCTACCACACCATCCCATGCAAGTCATGTCCGTGACGTTCTAATGTGGGATTCTAGGTGTTCCCATTACGATGCAATTTTATAGTGTCCTGTATCGCGTTTAATGATACAAATAATGTTCTCTCTGACCAACCTGACCTTAGCACCTCTAACCACACCGTCTCTTCCTACAACCAACTCCTCAACTTCACCCATCTTCCATTTTCCCCTTTTCACATTATCCTCATACACAATCACAACATCACCCTTCTCAACAACCCTTTTACTATTTTCTCGCTTCCCTCTATGGAATTCTCTCAAATCAGCAAGATACTCCCTACGCCACCTATTCCAAAAATGTTGCTTTTTCTTACACAAGTACTGAAACCGTCTGTTACAGTAATTTTCGTCCGACTCGTCACTAACCACTCCGTCCGGCATCGACATCAACCTTCTACCAACCATCAAATGCGAAGGCGTCAACGGTTCACTTCCAACTTCATCATATGCATACGTCAGTGGCCTCGAGTTCAATGTACCCTCAACCTCCACTAATGTAGTCAACAACTCGTCAAACGTCAACCTCGCATTCCCCAGCACCTTCCTCAAACACCTTTTAACCGACTGCACCATCCTTTCGAAAAATCCACCCCACAAGGGAGTTCTATCCAAATTAAACTTCCACTCAATCCTTTTAGCAACTAAATATCCTTGTAAAGTTTCACAGTTGTACATTTTTTTCAAAGCTTTGGCGGAGGCCTTAAATGTTTTTGCATTGTCCGAAACTATAAGTGCTGGAGTTCCCCTACGTGCCGAAAATCGTCTTAAACATCGTAAAAACTCTTGTGTCGACAAATCTCTTACCAAATCTAAATGTAATGCTCTACTCACACAACACGAAAATAACGCGATATAAACTTTATTGGTTCCGTTGGTGGCGTTCTTAACGTACAATGGACCGGCAAAATCGACCCCTGTTTTCGCGAAAGGTTCAGTTTCCCTTACCCTAAATCCGGGAAGATCAGCTTCTTTCGGTGCATTGTAGGGTTTCCCTTCCAATCTCTTACAAACGGTGCATCTGTTTAATATGCCCTTAACCCTTTGCCTACCCTTTGGGATCCAAAAACGCGACCTTACTTCTGCTAATGTCGCTCTAACCCCACTATGGTGTACCTTATTATGACAATGGACAATTATCAATTCAGTTAACTTACCTTCCTTTGGCAACAAGATTGGGTATTTTGCATCTACATCTAGATCTGACTCTGTGAATCTTCCTCTACATCTTAAGATTCTATCTTCTTCAACTAACTTCAACTGGCTTTCTAATTGCTTGTAATTTTCTTCCTTTTTTAACTGCATTTGCGTAGCTTTTATCCAAAGCTTTTCTGCTCTCAGTAGCTCCTCTCGTTCTAATTTACCTGACGTTGGGGCGCTCTCATTCCCCTTAACCTTTGAAATCAATATTTGGACATATCGAGTAACCCAGGCTGTTACTCGAAACAACTTTTCTACAGAACTAAACTTCTCAATACATATCACTTTATCTATACCAACAACTTCGTGTACATTCGCAACTAACACTGTTGCTTTCTTCTCTTCCTCCCTACTCTCTTCTGTCGAATCAATTTTAGAATTTGGTCATGCTCTATCTACACTACTTAACCATTGAGGGCCATCCCACCAGAGAGGGTTTTCCTGTAATTTAGATGCCAGTATTCCCCTACTTCCCAAGTCTGCAGGGTTTTCCACACCTGGGCAATGGCTCCAATCCCCCTTGTTTGTCAATGCTAAAATTTGATTTACTCTATGGCGTACGAACTGCTTCCATTCTCCATGATTTTGGATCCAGTACAAAGCAGTGATACTGTCTAGCCAATACCTGGTTTCCAAGCCCTTAACTTGTGAGGCGAGAGCTTTCTTAACTGAATCTACTAACTTGGCCAATAAAAGCGCAGACATAAGCTCTAAACGCGGTATAGTAAGAGTCTTAAGCGGCGCGACCCCAGTTTTGGCTGTTAGCAACTGAACATAAACTGCAGTGGAAGTACGACAAACAAAATAAACCACCGCGCAATACGCTTTTTCGCTAGCGTCGTCGAACTTATGAAGTTCGCACGATTGAATTTCACCGCTTATGTTGCTATAAACACATCTGTTCAATGTTATTGTTTCAACTCGTTTCAAATCATCAATCCAATCTAAATATACTTTTGCGTGCTTGCCAATTAATTCCTCATCCCAACTTACGTTGTCAACACATAGCTGCTGAAATAAGATCTTCATCAAAATAATTACGCAACTAACCAAGCCTAAGGGATCAAACATTTTGGCCAATGTGCTTAACAGATTTCTCTTCGTTAACTGCTTATCTTTCAAATTCTCCACCAATTTCAGCAGATCAAACTTTATCAAATCTTTTTCGCAATCCCAAATAAGCCCTACTGAAACCTTATCGCAGCTGTTATCTTGCGGAATACCTAAGCTTGATTGCGCATACGTTTCAAAATCGTCTAACCTTGTGACCTGCTTGGTATCTGAGGCGCTCTCATGTTCGCCTATATGCTTTCGCAAGGCTGTATCATTGGTAAGCCATTTTCGCAACTTAAATCCGCCCGTCGCCATCCTAGTTTTGGCATTTTCGTACAAATCTTTTACTTCGTCTGTGGCCTTACCCCCCGACACAAGATCGTCTACATAAAATCCGTCCTTCATTCTTTGTACAAATGTTGGATCGCTTTCAGCAAATTGCTCAATATGGTGTCTTAACGTTGCATTCAACAGAAAAGGAGAGGCATTTATCCCAAAAACTACTCTACAAAATCGGTAAACTACAATATCTAAATTACCACTTACCACATCCTTTACCCACAGGAATCTTAAATAGTCACGGTCCTCTTTATCTACCTCTACATTTAAAAAAGCTTTCTCTATGTCCCATATCAATACTACAGAATTTTCTCTAAAGCGTAATAAGATGTCAAACAATAATGGCGTTAGTGAGGGACCTACATGATGCATCATACACTATGCGCAACTTTGTGGTTTTTGCGTCCTTACGTATAACTGCTTGATGGGGCAGATAATGCACCTTTTCCTTAGTTTCTAATTCCCCTACCCTTTCAATTACTCCGGAATGCAACTGCTCTTTTATGATCGCGTCGTACTCACTTAACACTTTCGGTTCACTAGCAAGACGTTTTATTTGACCCTTCATGCGTGCTAAACTGTTCGAATAATTTGTTGGCAAATGCTCGTGACTTTGTTTCCATGGCAGTTTAACAGAATACTTCGAACCGTTGAATTTAATCTTATCTAACAAGGCTTCATGTACGTCATCGCATTCCCTAACCCAATGGTTTCTAAATCCCACAATTTGTTTACGTCGAAACCTATGTTATTTAAACTCTGATTTCCGACCTGCGAAACAAAATAGACGTTAGCACATTCATTTTCCGAGCTCCCTTTGAGTGGGCCACTGACCACCCATCCCAAACACGTATCAACCGCAACCGGCTCGTCATCCTTACCCTTCACAACCTTTCCGCTTTGAAACGCCCAAAGATTGTCAGCACCAATCAAAATATCAATCTCCAACACATCATTAGACTTACACACGTCAGACAACCACAAATCCTTCAAGTGCGAATACTCACCCTTTACAATTTCAAGATGCTCGTTCCTAACTTGACAAATCTGAGGCACAACTAAAGCCTCCACTCGCACACTACGATTACCCTTTATAGAATTTATTTCAAAATCAACAACCTCTCGCATCTTCCCTTCCTTCGTCGCACCACCAAACGTACTAACTTCAAGCCACTCATTCCTAACAACATGCAACTTTGCATCATTCATCGCCCTAGATGTCACGAAAGATTTTTGGCTACCGGAATCGAAAAGCACTCTGACTCTTTTTACTTTTTCACCCTTCAAAATGCCTTGCGCTGTTTGCAAAGCAACCCTACATTTCGTACCAACATGCACATTACCAACATGCACAGTCTCGTTTTCCTCTTGTTTTTTCTCGCCTTTTTTCTCATCGTTTCTCTCACCAAAACGTTTAACACAAATAGAAATATGATGCGACCCCCCACATGCATTACAATTATGACGTGCACGACATTCTCTAACTAAATGTCCCTTATTAATACAATTATAACAACGATGAAACTTACGTAATAGTTCTAAGCGTTCCTTTCTGCTCGTCACTCTCGTACAGTCTTCGTGCTTGTGGTTTCCTCTACAATAGGCACAATCCATTCTTCCAGCGAAAAGAGTATTAGCAGTACTAGGTTCGCGTCGACGTCTCGTGTAGTTACTCCCATCGTTGTTAGCAGGTAGCGATGTCAAGGCATGGCACTCACGTAATTCAACTTCAGCTTGCAAGGCGTCCACAAAATCTTTTATATTCCACGTCAAATGTTCCTTATTGCGCGTTATCGTCAGTCGTACAACTTCTGGCAGTTTATTTAACACAGTCGGTACCACAATTTCTGAGTATATTTCGTTATTCACACCCAGCGCTTCCAATCCTCTATAATTACTTTCTACGGTGTCAAAGAATTTCCTCAATCTCTCTGTGTCGTTTGCGTTGAACACAGGTTTGACATTTAACAATTCATTAATGTACGCGCGTTGTACTACAGTTTTATTTCCAAATCGTCGTTCCAAAATGTTCACTGCCGCCGAATAATTAACTGCAATCAGGGCAAACCCCGCAATGGCTGACTTAGCAGGTTCTTCAACTAGTCCTCGTAAGTACGTAAATATATCAATATCACTCAAGGCATCATTTTTATGTATGGCGCTTTCAAATGAATCCCAAAACTCGCGCCAGTCTTGGATTTTTCCCGAGAATTTCCTAACTTCTAATTTTGGTAGCTTTACTCTAGTATAATGTGAATTTTGACTTACGTTCGTGGCTGTTGTTATCTCCACAGGAACCTCGGATGATTTCTTTTCATCTAGTTTTTTCAATGCGTCGTCTATCGCGGCAAATCCACCGTACATCTCGCTTATAAATTCTGATGACGTTTCGATCTCGCTCTCTACGTCTTCTTCTTTCTCCAGCATATCTAATATCGTCTCGTCTAGTTTCTTTATAGTCTCAATTTTTTCCTTTAATGTTAACTTTAACTGCGCTAGCTCCACAGCTATTTCTGGCACAATATTATCCATGGACTTTTTAACTTTCGCTAAAGTTCTCGTGGCATACGCGCGATGCCCACTTCTCGATTGTTTTTTCTTTGTCAAATCCGACATTTCACTCACAAGTATCCGTACTTCGTTGTTATTCTCTTGAATCCGTAATCCGGCTCGAAGGACCAAGTGTCGCGTAACTTAGTGCGATTTAAGTCACGCTGGTTGCTGGCTCACGATTCAAGACACTTCACACGTGGGACTGTATTTTTTGTATATATTTATTAAGTACAGATATTTACACTTGTTTAGTGCACGTCGTTTTACAATGATGTAATTACAATTACCCAACACGATTCTCAACTCTCAATTTGCGATTCAAAATAACACACACACATAACGCGTTCAACACGACAATAACCAATACCAATCACCAAACCCAATAATCAATAATACACTTTTTAGCCTATATTTATATTAACAGAACAGGAATACATATTTTCTCTACCACAACTTCCCTTACGTAAATGGAACACGTTTATTGCTATTTTGTTCCCTTTTTGTGGTTCTTAATCCAATTTTGATCTACCACACCATCCCATGCAAGTCATGTCCGTGACGTTCTAATGTGGGATTCTAGGTGTTTCCATTACGATGCAATTTTATAGTTTCCTGTATCACGTTTAATGATACAAATAATGTTCTCTCTCTCTCTCTATATATATATATATATATATATATAATATTTTTAACACAGGACAAATAGACATTACACACAGAATACATAACATTTTGCGACACGGAATGCAAGTGTCGCCTTTGTGGTGGTATTGTCGACAAGAAGTATTAACAGCGAAATAAAAACCTGCTTCGTATCGCAAAAATTTTAAAACGCGGAACTCTTGCGTGTGAGGACAGATTTCTTAATCTTCCTAAATTACATTAAAGGAATGGGCCTGGGCCAATAAAACACCCAAGTCAATCGAACGATTAAGTAGAGCGACTAGGGGGGGGGGGGGTTGCAGAAATTATAAACAACTTTGACATAGCTGTAGGAATTAAGAAGAAGGCATCCTCTCACAAGTGCAAATCTTCAGAGAAAGATGAAAATATTATTTTATCTGATCTCTTGGAATTGAAACCGTTTGCAAGCGTCACTGATCGTTTTCATGAAGGTTTCACAGATATATCAATCATCAGATGCATTAGCAACATTAGACAATGCTGCATTTCATGACTAGCTAAACAAACACAAGAGGAACATCGCCAAGCATGGACCAGTGTACACATCAGAAGATGAAGAGGAATTATGACTGTAAATAGTGTAACACTTGAATATACTACAATAATCTGTATGGCTGCAGCACAGGCTAGCTCGAAAGGATTATTAGATGCACAATTTGCACTTGTCCTATTATAATATACAGCTATATTCCAATTAAGGTTGTCACAGGCAATAGTCAAATGTACAATTGAACGCTAAAAAATATGGGAATGATCCTATTTTAACACATCAATAGCCTCGTGGGAATACAAATTAATATTTATAATATATTCGAGGTGTTAAACTTATTTAAAACTATCATTATTCCCATCATTCATTTAGCACTCATATTATTGTACAGTACATCTGACTATTGTCTGTGACAACCTTAATTAAAATAGCTGTATTGTCAATTTTGAATTTGTTCTGCTGTATGGGTTTTCGTGCATGAGGTAAGTTGAGTTTATGCAAATGATGACATATATATATGTTTGGGGGTCAGGAGAGTGTGAGCATACTGTAACTTGTGCCCAGAAACACACATAGTTTAATTAAGAAAACTGAGTTGTAAACAAAATTCATATTTGTAATTAATTCTATATTCATTTGGTACAAAGTCAAGAATATATATTAATATTATTCCTCAAGTTCAAATTGTACAATGAAAAAACAGCATTTGTACGACGTGATAATGTGATTTTTTACGGTATTTCACTCAAATTCATGATTTCGCAATGCAGCGTGAGATACTATAATATCCCACGGCAGATCCACCGTGGGATATTATAGTATCACACGCTCACGCGTGACGCGTGGACACCGCGTCTGAAACAATATGGCGTTCGCGAGCTGTTGTTTGTAATTTCGTATTTTCGTACAGAAGATTTGATTTAACCAAAGACTTTCAAGACGTGTGTTACCTTTAATGATCCAAAGGATACATGCTCAAATATTTTAAAGAGGAAACGTCAAAAACTCAGGTATACATAAGAAATTAAAAATTGTATTCGCATAGTTAATATTCAGCAAGTTTTAAAGTTTTTCTGAACTTAGTGAGTTCTTTAACTTTTGGTATAATATATCATTTATAGACCCTCCGCTCGGGGGATTCGGCGTAATATTTCCCTCAATGATGATATTTTCCTCGGGGCAAAGCCCCTCGGAAAATATCATCACTTTGGGAAATATTACGCGGAATCCCCCTCGCTCCGGGTCTATAAATGATAATTATTATATGGCAAGATTTTTGTTTTGATGAATCGCGCAATTTGATTGCTTGCTGGCGAGGCAGGATTTTTCCGTATTGCCCGTAGGCAATACACAATTTTTATTGCCCTAGGAAGCTGCTGCGAGAACCGAGTTTCAAACGGCAAAAAGTGTCTAAAAGTCCTTTCAAACTATTCAAAACGAAGAGAAATAGACTTATTGTAAGGTAAGGAGAAGGAGCAACTGTTGTGGTTAAAGAACTTTCTCAATAGTTTTTGTTAGTGAAAGTCGAATTTACAAGGTAAATTTTACAATGACAATGTGACAGTTTTAATAAGAATATAGTTGTGTTTTGACCATGTGAAGAGCTGCCAATTTTATTTGCACATGGCCATGCAGGAGGAATCTGACACCATCTAAATAAAATATACAATTAAAATTTCTGTTTTTGTTAGATAAAACGAGACACAAATATATGAAATGAAGCGAACTAAAAACGTACTTGTCGATGCTGTTTATTAATTTTATTGTTTTCCTATTTGTTGTCTTTGATTGAATGACGAAATAGTGAAATACCTCGTAATTTTCTTGAAATACTATCCAAACTGTGTTAGCATTCTATATTAATAAATGTTGTAGAGTAGTTTTACTAATCAAGCTCATTTTTTACAATTGTTTTTTTTTGCAAATGTTTCGGACTTAGTAGTTTGCCCACGCGTGACCTTTTTCCTCATTTTTTACAAACGTACAATGCCATATAATAAAACCGTACTGACCTCAACCGTTCGAGCAGAACTGCAAAATATCCATGGATATCCGTGGATATTTTCCCGTACTGCCGTCACTCTCGGTCAGCGCTAGCAAGTTATTAATATTTTACAGGCCCAAAAATATTTATCTAATCAGGTAAGCACATCCCCCATGGCTATGAGGTTAGTTTTGTGCAGTTTCTTCCATATCTAAACTAGATTCAACACATAAACATTGTGTTTTGCATACACTAGAGCATAAATTGGTCTTTTCGATAAATATTCGTCATTCGGTCAGGTTTGCAACCAACTTAATGCAAGCCAACTGATTCTTTTAGGTGCCTTCGATCAAGTTTAGTTTGCTGTAACAGTTATACCAATATTGTTACGTTAGCAAATACAGAAAACAACGTACTAAGTTTTGCATAACCTCATCTAAAATCATCCCCCTAAAACAAGATTGAGATAACGTCAATATAATGGATGACTGAGAAATAACATGTAGAATTAGTGTATTTTGGTCAAGTTCAGCTATATCGCAATCAATCTCTTCAATTCGTTGTCACATTTTTATGGCTGCTGAACATTTATTGCTGATACTCTTGACTTTTATCGCACATTGACCTGGATCGTTTATCAAAGCGTTCGCGATATACTGTAACGAGCAGCATAGAGGTCACGTCATTTACACCAAGACCCTGAGTTGGACGTTCTTCTAACGCTCTTTCAGCGAAAAGCATCAAAAGCAAAAGCTGCATGAATCAGCGACTCGCCATAAATCGCCATAACAGCGAGCTCAAGCAAGCCACGTTGTTGTCAACATGACGTCAGATTGCCGAGGGAGACTGGATTAACAATTGTATTTGTGTCAGTTTGTGGTAATCTTTAACATATATGACAAACAGTAAGATTCTTAAAGTTTTTTGGTTCCTTACATGAGCGCTATGATGAAAAAATGCCGGACGTTTGTGTTGCTTAAGCTCACTATTAGTTAACAATCAATCGAAGCTTGGGTATATTTGTCTTAAAAGGTTTGATATTAATTTCTTTTTAGGTGTTCTTTGATGTTTTCACTCAACGTGAGCTCAATGGATTATGCTTGCATTGTACCAACCGAGGTTGTCCTTGGCATGGCACGTATGAAGCACTGGAGGTGAGTTGGGATGGTAGGAAGGAGAGGGGAGGAACGAAGGTGAAAATAATTTGAGGATTGAAGATTGCCACTGTAGACCAAAGCTGGGGGACAAACTTAGCCATTTTGCAGAGTGGCAAGTGCATGCACCATTTTGCAGCTCCTTGAATGAGTAAAATGTCAGTTTAATTAAGGTTGAAAAAAATTCTTGCAATACTACCGTAATAATAAAAGTTAAAAATGAAAACTAAACTACATAAACAGTAACGTGTGATTGGAAGTTGTGCTGTTTTGTTGCCAGTTAAATCAGAGTTAATCAAAAAATGGCAAACGAAAGCGAAGATTTTAATGTCCAAGAAGAGGAACGCACACAGAAATCCTAATACTTGTCCATTCTCACGCGATGCCCGCGACTTAATTATGTTTGCACGCACGAGATCTCGTTGAGTTTTCCCCTAGTGGCCCCACGTGTTACTGAGGTTGGGGTTTTTCCCCTTGTGTTTGAAAACTCGAAAAAAAGATTAAAATCTACTATGAGCTGTTTAAAGTCTAATTGACATTATAAAGAAAGAAACAAACTTACGAAAATAATCACAATTTATTGAGACGACTGAGTATGTTTTTAATACATCTTTTTTCACTTGGGTAAAAATGCCAACCACTATGGGAATTATCGTGCAAGTAGAGTTTAATCTTTTTTTCCCAGTTCACTATTCCATTGTGAATGATTATCAGGGGTCGGTTGCACGAAACCGAAGGTGGCGAACCGTACAGACCATTCGAGAGTAAGTTCTTGAGTCTCGTTCACATAACAGCAACAGAAACTAGGACAACCCAGCTAATAATGTAACCATATCTTTGTGACTTAGGGACATTCTGCTGTCTGTGAACATGCTTTGATAAATTGTGTCAATTCTGAGTGCAGGATGAAATTCCAACGCTTTCACCAGGGTGAACACTTGAAAAGTGAATGTGAATATCGGAATGTGAAGTGCGATTTTTGTGGGAAGGATGTCGCCTTTGCCTCGATGAAGGTAAGTAAAAATAAAGTAACTGTTAAGAATAGTTTGAACAATCCAACACGTCACGTCGTCTTATGTAATTAACCTCAAATTCGCTGTTCATCTAGGAACATGTTGATACGATCTGTGACGGTGCACCCGTGACTTGTAAATATTGTAATAAGAAAGATATCTTAAGAACAGACATTGAAAGACATGAGAGACGCGATTGCGAAGAGGTTCCGGCGACTTGTGAGTTTCAAGCTGTAGGGTGCAACCACGCTAAGGTACAGTAATAGTTATTTGCTGTATTCATGCACTGTCGGCTGACATACGCAGGTTTTCCCCCGATAACTCTGTTTGAGTTTCTCCTGTTGCAACTTTGCACCAATATAGGATGTCCTTTGCCTTATATGAGGGCTATCATGATAGCTATGGGCAGTAAGGGATGAGTAGTACAAATAAACCAGGTTTACCTCAATCCACACCACTCGCATCAGAACTCTTCTCCATTCTATTTCGATGGCTCATACTGGGCCTTCTAGGCAGTAAATAGCATGAATTTATTTAAGTTTCCTAGGAAAAAAAGCCAATCCATTTATGTTTGTGAAACGTTATAAAATGTATTACAAAATCTTGATTTTTTAAATGCAAGAACTTCAAAACTTTGAAAACACGGGAAAGGAAAACACGGAAAATGACCTTCGAAATTGGGTGGGAGGCATGACCCCAGTCCCCTGCCCTTACGTGAGCGCACCAATAACAAATTGCTCACGACTGTACTGCCTACTGAACCTGAAAAAGGAACAGTTTAGAACTTTCAAGTTTAAGTAACGTTGACACTTGGCAATAAAAAGCTACGAAAAATTGTTTGCTGTTGTTCATGTATCTGATAGTTAAGATTAAGTTTGAATAAAATATACTTCGAAAGGATATACACGTAAAAACGCACATTGCACGTCTGCAAACAAGTTGTTACAAATCTGTTCACAACTTGTCAACAAGTTGTGTATGCACTGCTTGTTACCAGGGGTTGTAACAAGTTTGGAACAAGCTGTTAACAACTTGTAACAATTTGCAAGCATATTGGCATTATCAGACTTGTTACAAGGTTGTTCTAACAAATTTGATACAGTCATATGATATAACAGGATACAACAGGAATGTTACAAAGTTGATAGTATTGTTATTTATAGTATAAATTTTGCATATCAAATGAGCTTTTACACGTTCTGATTGGCTAGTTGACGTCCAGTAAATCTGACGCAATATTTACTAGCGGATTATAGTAAATAATGCTTTCCAAAAGGAGTGATTCGGTGAACTTTGTTTTAAAATCGACGAAATATTAAAAAATCGTCCTAAAAAAGCGAAAGAAGCACAACATTTTGTGTTAAACTTAAAAGGTAATACGTAACCTTTATTATTTTACTGTGTAAACATATTCACGGACAGTTTAAAACTTCTTTAAAACTCCAAAACATTCACTTCAAACAAATAACAAAACTATCCCAACTGTTGGGAAAAACCTTGCCGTGATATTTTAATTAAAACACAATTTATCCTATAGATATCTCAATTTGTCATGTTTTTGTTGTGCTGTATGGTGGCCCGACGCTGTGTTGTATTTTCGAAACTTGTAAGTGAAAAGTGCATTAAAACTTTAATTCGTGTAATAGTTTTATATTTCATTTTATCAATTTTTTCAGTCCTTTTCTGAGCAAATTAAAGCCAAACAGAAACAATTTTTAATTCTAAGTCTGGTGAAAAAGTTAGTCCGTCATTGTGTTTAATATTAAATTCCAAGCTGAAATTCATCGAGAAAAATAACTTTTTTAATAAAGCAATAAAGGCACACTGGAAGCCATTTTGAAAGCGTGCGGTGACAAGAAACACTGCAACACTAAACACTATTATTTCTGAATTTTAAATAAACTGATATTTGGATATTTTGTTTTATTTGTTTAAACAATTATTTGCCACTGGCTTAGTAATTACGGTGAATATTCACCTCGACTTCGTCTCGGTGAAATATTCACCGGTAATCACTTCGTCTTCGGCGAATTATTGTTATATAATGACTGTATCACACCTGTTGGAATAACTTTGCAACAAGTCTAATAATACCAACAATGCTGTTGCAAGTTGTTAACAAGTTGTTCCATATTTGTTGACAACTTGGCACAACCAGTGCGAGCACAACTTGTTGACGGCTTGTTGGCGGACTTGCTGCAAGATTTGAGCATAATAATAATACTAGAGTTTGGATGCAGATGAGAAAATGCTAAATTGACAAACGCTCAACTGCCCAATAATCTTCTATAAATTATTATTTGCCATCCATCTTTAATACAATTTGTAGACTTTAACGCGAAAAGATCTGCGTCATCATTTGATTGAGAGATCGATAGATCATGGTGGACAGCTACTGCGGTATACTTTTGCCTTTAATTCTCAGCTGAACGACTTCATCCCACGTACGGAATATACAGGAATGTCGCAGAAAATCCAAGATGATATGACTGAGGTTCGCTCTAGCTTGGCCGAGAAATTTGTCATGATAGTAGAAAAGTTGACTGGCTTGGAAAGACGGGTTGAAAGCTTGGAATCCAGTCGTGGGGGTGATACAAGGATTAGAAATGAAGTGCATGAGCTAACAAGTAAAATTAGAGATCTTACTACTGAAAGCAGCAACTTACGTGAAAGTAATACGAGTTTAGAAAGAGAACTGCGTGATAAGGTCTCAATTATTGATCGTTTGCGAAGTAAGATGAATCAAATGGATGAGTCTCTTGCTCTGAATACAGTCAAAATTACCGATTTGCAGTACCAACGAGGTACGTGTGCACAACAAGCTATCTACAGTTACAATGGCACTTTACTGTGGAAGATTGAGGGCTATCAGAGAAAAAGGCAAGATGCCATCAATGGGGTCAAGACGGCTTTGTACAGTCCACCTTTCTACAGCGCTCAGTATGGTTACAAGGTGTGTGCTAAGATATATATGAATGGTGATGGCTTTGGAAAAGGCTCGCATTTGTCTTTGTTTTTTGTTGTGATGAGAGGTGATTACGACGCTCTTCAAACCTGGCCATTTCGAAAGAAGATCACGATGATGCTGTTAGATCAAGGCAATGGAGATCATATGATTGATGCGTTTAATTCAGATCCTCAAAGTTAATCTTTTCAACGTCCGAAGTCTGCTATGAATATCGCATCGGGTTCTCCGCTCTTTATGCCACTCGATAGCTTGAATAATCGTCAGTACATCAAGGATGATATCCTGTTTATTAAGATTATCGTCGACTGAACAAGATGATGTTGATCAGGCGTTTATTTGCTAACGGGCTTGTGAGAGCGGTGAGAAAAATAAACGCCTGCGGTAACGCCATTTTGAACAGCGTTTTCGCCCTTTTACAGTGATCGCCAATTTCAATTAGCACCTTTGCACGTTATTCAATTATGTTCCAGATTTATAATTAGCATCATGTCATAGGCAGCCCAAAAATATGAATATAAGGAGGTGTATTAGTTTTTAATTGCCCTGCGAGAACAAAGGGAATAGCCGCAATCATGATATTATGATAAATAAACAAAGTAGATTATATGGACGCGCGAGGGTCAAAATTTTCACCACGCATTTTTGGGCTGCTTGTGATAATGTGAGTTTTTTTGCGGCAATTTATAATTGCTTTCTTTCCATATCCTGTTGAAGAACCACGAGAACGTCTTCACAACGCAGTAAATGGACTTTCTCTGTTCTGATTTTAACTAAATTTTGAAACCTAAACGACTTGAAAGTTGAAATATCAGGCAGAGATTCTTCCAACGCATTTTCAGACAGAATTGAATCGATAAATGAAACGCAGAATTGGATTAAGAGAAACAGCACACATTTATTTGCTTAAATAAACGCCTGAAGCAAGCGTAGCTTACCTAATTACTTTCGGGGGAATTTTTCCGACGGATAGCAAAATTGATATGCCCATTATTATTATTGAATCAGCTACAAAACTTGCTGATTCAATAATGCCCATTATTATTATCGTCGTAACAAAACTTCAGTATTTGGACCTTATGAGGACATGTAAACTGCTCCATGTCCGAGACTTTCTAAAAATCTACAAGAAAATAAAGAACTGGTGGAAACAGACTATAAATAGGGTATGAATAAATTCTAGTTATGAACACCATATAAGGACATAATTACTGTATGATTGACATTTAGGAAAAAAAAAACAATTTTAGAGTACATAGCAAGCGAGAGAGAAAGAGGTGTGTAAACATAATAAAACATACGAAATAAAATCGAACAATTTGGCGATGAAATATACAGTGAATTGTCGAGAAGGACTAAAGAACGGCCCTTTTAGTAGAGCATTCCGACAAAGTGGCGGCACCTGCGACGAGATCGAAATATGGATAAACTAGAGAAAGATTTAACCGGGAAATTAAAGCTATTAAAGTTTACGTTCAAGAAAACATCGAAAATTGTGAGCAAGGCAAATATTCTCGTCATTGAAAGACAACGCGAAGCATTGATAAAGATTACTGCGAATATCGAGGAGGTAAAACTACACATTTCGGAAGGAAAGTTTGAACGGGGAGACAACGATGAAACGATTAGAAATTGGAGTAAAAATATCGAAGAACAAGTCGAAGAAGTCGATGCGGAAGTCGGAAAACTACAAAAATATGTGGACGAAATGAAAGCCAACGAAGCGAGCAAAGCGAAAGAAGCTGAACGGGCACAACAACTACAATATGAGAAAGAACAATACGAACAAAAACTGCATTTCTAGCACAAGGTTGATGAAATCAAGAAAGATAAAACTAAAAAAAGTCGGATCAAATTCAAACGAAGCTTCCCAAGTTAATTATTACCCCCATTTAATGGCGCACCCACCGATTGGCTTCGTTTTGGAACATATTTGAAACCGAAATAGACAACAACCGTGATCTAGCACCCGTAACCAAATTTGCATATCTAAAAGAACTTTTGAAATGAAAGGTTAGATCAACTATAGATGGACTACCATTTTCAACTGAAGGATATACCAGAGCAAAAAATATTTTGAAGAACAAGTATGGCAACACCACAGAGACTGTCAACGCCTATGTGCAAAATATTAAGGCTTTAGCAGTTATTAATGGTACACAACCCTGGAAAATACACGATATTTATGAAAAATTATAAACGTTCACGCACTCGAAACTTTATGGAAAATAACTGAGATAAATGATTATGTGCGAACGTCGATAGACAAGCTTGAAGGGATACGGGGAGATTTACTTCGAACGGAGTACAAATGGCGTGAATGGGACTTTCCGAAATTTGTCGAAGCAGTGTGAATGTGGACCGAAAGGAACCCCTGCCTACCACGAAAGAAGCCGAGTGAATTCGCAAGTCGGTCTTCCTATAATACCCAACAACGTACCTGTGTTTATTGTGGTAAACCAGACCACAAAACAATCGATTGTGACAGTGTGACTAAACCCGGTGAGCGAAGGCAGATTTACAGCGCAAACGACTCTGTTTTAACTGTACCGGTTCAGGGCACAAGGCGTCGGAGTGTAAAAGTCGATCGAAATGTCGGGTCTGCGATGGGAAGCACCATTCTTTCATTTCTGAAAAACCACCGAAAGAGAACCTAATGACAACCGATCAAGGAAACGAACAGCGTGTTGTATATCCAGTTGTGGTTGTTGATGTGCATGGAGTCAAATGTTGTGCGTTGCTGGATTCGGGATCAAGTAGCACCTACGTATCAGCCGTCTTGCTCAAAAGGATTGGAGTCAAACCCATTAGTTCGGAAATGCGCCAAATCGAAATGATGTTGAGAACCACAACATGAAGGATGAACGTTTACACTGTCAATGTAAGCTCGCTGAATAAGACTTTTGAAAAGGACATCAATGTCAGCAAAGTGGAGAAGCTTCAACTCATGACTTTAAAGAATCCTGGTTATAAGAGCCTCCACATCTCGAAGGAGTAGTCATGGATGACACCGACAACAAGACCAACTTACCTGTCCACTTAATCCTGGGAATTAGTGAATGCACCAGAATAAGTATAGTAGAACCGCCGCGCATCGGTGGAGAATGAGATCCAGTGACTACACTCACCAAGCTGTGATGGACTATTACTTCACCTGGGCAGGAGTTTGACGTCTCAGCAATGTTACTTACCCAAACCGTACAAGTTGACTACGATGAACTGTGCAAACTAGATGTTCTTGGTCTCACAGACCTCCCTGTTGGTGATTGAAGAATTTAAGGAGTAGCTACAAAGAAGTAAAGATGGATGGTATCAATCTGGTTTCCTTTGGAAAGGTAATCACCCGGCGCTGCCAACTGGGAAAGATGTCAGTTTACATAGATTGAACACTCTAGTTCGCAAGCTGGAGAAATCAGGAACGATAACGATTATGATGCAATCATCATAGAGCAGCTGAACCAAGGCGTAATAGAGCATGCCCCAGACACAGTGGTCGGCGAAGAATGCTACATTCCACATAAGCCAGTGATGCGAGGGAAAGCAGAGAGTACAAAACTTCGAATTGTGTACGATGCTTCGGCGCGGGTAGAAGATAATGCCCTATCTCTCAATGAATGTCTGAACCCTGGTCCGCCACTCCAAAACCAACTCTGGAGTGTGCTTGTAAGAGGACGATTTAATCCTGTAGCCCTCAAGGCAAATATCAAGCAAGCCTTCTTACAAGTCCGAATTTGTGAAGAAGACAGAGATGCTTTAAGATTCCTCTGGTTAAAAGATGTGAATTCAAAGGAGGTGGAGACCTTCAGGTTTACTAGGGCATTATTCGGATTCGCCCCATCTCCATTTCTTTTGGGCGGAGTGATCAAACAACATCTTGAAGTGTGGCGCAGTAAAAGTCCAGAAACTGTGCATGAAATCGGAAAGGGCCTCTACGTGGATAATTTAATATCAGGCGCGACAACCACCAATGACACCAAGCTACTCAAAGTTGAAGCTACAGAAATATTCGAGGATGTTGCCTTTCGACTACACAAGTGGCATTTGAACGAAGTTATACTGGAATCCAACCAACATGAAGGATCAGACCTTTGCAAAACAGCAACTGAGATAGTCAGATAACGGGAACTGCAACCTCCTTGGGCTTGCATGGAATAAGAACAAAGACACAATTAGCATTACTATTTCGAATGAGGAAGTATCAACAACCAAACGAGGGGTTCTAACGAAAGTATCAAAGACCTGTGACCCATTGGGATTGGCGTCACCATTGTCACTAACTGGAAAATGCTGTATCGAGAAGCGTGCAACTTTAAATGTGGGTGGGATCAAGCACTACCAATTTACCTCGGTAACAGGTGGAAACGATGGGAAAGAGAGTTACTGGAATGTATAACAACAGTGAGGTCTCTGGCAAAGTACCAAGAACCAGTCACCAGCATCACTCGTCATGACGATGCGAGTGGAAACGACGATGCGAGTGGAAACGACGATGCGAGTGGAAACGGAGTAGCTGCAGCCACTTATGCTGTAGTGTCTCAACCATCAGGGCAAGCGCAAGGGCTCGTGACAGCCAGGACACGACTCGACTCGCCAAACAAGGACTGACTACACCTCGACAAGAATTAGTTGCTGGCCATATGGCTGCTAATCGTGTCACTAATGTCAAGGAAGCAGTCGACGGTTTCCCTGTAGCAAACTCATATTAGGAAGTTTACGATCTACGACGCGGCCGGCTCGACGACGCGCTTTCAAAACAAAGAAATTTGGTGTTTCCACAAACAATAGTATTACGTGTTTTATCGCCATGCAAACCTACAAAGAACTTTTTGTCATGCAAGACAAAAACTGTCAATAATTTGTGGTCCCATGAGTATTGTCAAACGCGTTGTCATTCTCAACACAACGTTAAAAAAGCATTATTACGTCTTTCAGGCAACGCGAAAGCTTAATGCGACTCAACAGGTGTTACTAAAAGTCGAAATTACAGCAAACGTTGCATCGCTTTAGCCGAACGCGGTGCATTTTGTAAGGTTATTTGAAAGAGTCAAATATTTATTACAGTAATCGAATTGCTTAGCGCTCATTCTTGAGCTAAAATTTAGACCGCGTCGTTTAGCCGGCCGCGTCGCAGATCATAAACTCCCTATTGTTGGTTCGATAGTACGGTGGCCCTTCATTGGATTCGAGGCGAAGGAAACTACAAGCAATTCGTGCAAAACCGAGTCAACAAAGTTCAGCTTAAAAACTTCATGCAGCCGTCACGGTGCTGTAGACAGCCGTAGCGGTGCTGTAACGCAGAACAACGAGCCATGGTGGAACGGACCAAAGTGGCTTTCCAAACCCCAGGAATGGCCTGCAAACGTCAGTACGAAAGCTAAAACTTGGAGAGGCTAAGAAAGTTCGTGAATTGTTCAAATTGGCGACCAAACACGAACCAGATGAGTTCACTGAACTTATTAGACTTGGTTCAAGTCTGTCTCAAGACAAAAGTAGGAGAGACGACGGACTTGGGACATTTGCAGCATTTCGAATGTTACTTGCAAAAATTGACGCGAAAATTTGTTGTTGTTCTCAACTGGCAAGCCACGCCTCTGTACGAAAAACCCGTCGGTAAAATTTGGCGCGCTTGCAGGGTATCCAAGTCCGTCTCTCCTACTTATCTCTCATATTTTCGCGCCTTTTTTGACCGCTCCCATGCATCGCTATTTTCAACTCCTTGAGAGACGGACTTGAACCAAGTCTACGAACTTCTTGGAAGGCGAAGTTACTGGACGGTTGTCAGAACGTGTGTATGGATCGCGAGGTTTGTGCACAACGTGAGAAACAAAAATAAAGTGGCCGGTCCACTAACTACAGAAGAGATTGAAGCACAAAAGAAATTTTGGGAAGAAAAGGCTCAATGACATGGCGAAGTGAGTGAGAAGTACGACGCTGACCGAATGCAACTCAACCTACAGTGAAACTAATCGGGATTGTTAGAATGTTGAGGCAGAGTAGGTAGGCAGGTAGATTAGGTAGGTAAGACTTTATTTAAAAGATCACACGCTGGCCTCGTCAACTATGTGCTGATTTCCACGAGGGACGTGTAGATTACATGATATTATATAACAAAATATTTTACACACTAAACTACAAATAACTACAAAACAATTATATTACATGATATTATATAACAAAATATTATACACACTAAACTACAAATAACTACAAAACAAATACATTATAGTACAAAATTAATAACATTATATTAGAAATTACAAGCGTCAATTGCATTTTTGAATGTTGATAATGTATCTGAATCACGCATATCTGCAGGTAATGAATTCCACAGTTTAGCTCCATCCATAATAGAAGTTTTTCTTAAGGTTTTCAGTTTTTGGCAAAGGTGGTTGTAGTGAAATAGAGGAGCCCCTAAGATCATATTCTGTTGTTTCTTTTTCGTACGAAAAGAGTAGCGAGTGAACTTGGAGCCAAACCATTTAGAACTTTACTTTGTACATTTGTTTAACTTTAGATTTGGCTCGTCGAGTTTGAAGGGACTCCCACCCTACCAGGAGTGTTGTACCTCAAATTCATTATTATTGCAGCTCTGTTCTGCAGTTTTTGAAGTCTGCTGGAGAGCCCGACACCAAGGGTATCCCATACCTCATTACAATAGTCAAAATGAGGACATACTAAAGCATTATAAATAGAAGACAGAGTTTCTCTGTCAACAAAATAACGGATTCTTTGCATAGCTCCAATTCCGGACGTAACCTTTTTAACTAAATTTGCAATGTTTTTGTTCCAAGATAGTTTTTCGTCAATTTCATTACTTTATTCATTTTCGTCAAGATCATTATCTCATTTACCTTCCAGATACTGAGGTCTACACAGAGAAATTCGTACAGCAAGCTCGTGAAGGTACACTCCACAGCGGAGTGGGACTCGCGGTGGCAAAGGTTCGCGAAAACCATTGGGTACCTCGCCTGCGACAGCTAGTGAAACGGCTTATCAAGAAATGCCCCAGTTGCAAGAGGTTCCAGATCACAGCTCTGGCCAGTTCACCACCTGGTTTGCTCGCTCCCAAAGGATCGAACAGAAGGCAACACTGCTTTTCAAGTAGTTTGAGTCGATTACGCACGGCCCCTTAAGATCAGAGTTGGAAAAGAAGGAAACGCGAGAAGGAAAAGCATATATCATCTTTCATAAAATACACAGTGAATTGTCGAAGACGGCCCTTTTAGTAGAGCATTCCGACAAGAACAATTATGTATTTAGTGAACTTGATAGACACTGCACATAACAACTTCGGAATCCGTAACGTGCGGATTAACAAGTTAAACACCTCCGACCTAAACTTCGTTCCCCCCAGGAAACGTTTTGGGCAAGCGCCATGACCAATAAACTTCTCATTCCAGGACAGTGCCTCCTATATATTCTTTTTTATTCAAAATTTTGTACTATTTTTCCCAACAACTCCTTCCTTATACAAGTTTTCACTCAACAATTACAATTTACGTTTTAACCTGTCGTATCTTATTACGCCAGTGCCTGTGGAACCCTTGTATATATACTACCAAAATTATATCTTATTTTAGGCAAGCGCCTTTCTGTGTATCATCAGACATAGTATAGGTAATCATGCGATGGCGAGTACTATTAATCCCTAATTGTACGAGCAACATCGCATGATTACTTGTTTATTATTAGCATGGCAAAATTGGATACTTCTCAATGTCAACATCATATATTCTCTCGCCAAAGCCCAGTCATCACGAGTACTATTAATCCCTAATTGTACGAGCAACATCGCATGATTACTTGTTTATTATTAGCATGGCAAAATTGGATACTTCTCAATGTCAACATCATATATTCTCTCGCCAAAGCCCAGTCGTGCCAGACTTTCAACCAAAAATTTTGTTTGTATTTTCATTTAGTTCTTTTGTAAAAGCAAAATTTGGTGCTTTTGTTCGTATTTTCATCTAGTTCCTCCAGGGCAATTTCATTTCGCGCTTGTGTTTAAAATACCTTTCCGCCATTTTGTTTGTTTTGGGAAAATCATTAATTGTACTGCAGTACAATTAATGATGGTAATAGAACGAATAGGAGTGCTATTAATGCCATAATCATACGAGTGATTACAAAATCAACCGACCGCGTAGATATTACACGAATAAGTAGCATGTCCCTAAAAAATCTACTTGAACCGAACAAAACTTTCTTGCATAGATTTTTTAAAAAATAAAAGACCTTTTCGAAGTACATGCACAACGGATGTTTATTGAGTCTACAACGTATATTTATAGTT